CATATAATTATCATTACTAACCATGAAATAACCTGATTTTATGATATGATTTCATGTATGTGTATACAACCATATAAGAGATAAACTGTTTACTATATGTGATGTTATGATCTATATAAAATAAATAAAGAAAGAACTAAAAAGCTATATGAACTGGAAATGATTTTTGATGAACTAAATAAATATATAGTATTAATGAAATAATTATATGATTAGAACATAGATAAATTTATTTTTATTATTTGTATAAATATATATAAGATTGTTTTTTTTTTTTTTTTTTTTTTTTTTTTTTTGCTTTATTTGGGAATATGTAGAATCTATGTAAGTATATATTTTTATGTTCAAACGTGTTTATGTTGTCTGAATATCTACATATAGTACCAATGTTTTGATATTATAATTTTTTTCTTCTTTAATCATATAAATAAACATTTAAATCAATATATAAATATGTTTTAATGGTATTTATGTATTTTTTTGTAGAATTACAGCTATTTAATTAAACAGAAAGAAAAAAAAAAAAAAAAAAAAAAAAAAAAACATCTTAAGTTTATATGGGCCTTATTTATGAACAGTGCAGGTGTTTTGTAGAAACATAGATTACTTTTTTTCCTTTATATATTACATTAATATTATTAAATAAAAAATGTATTATTCATGTGAACATATATATATATATATATATATATATATGTATATATTTTAAATAATGTAGAATTATTATATTTTTAAAATTGGTTACATTTTAATATATTCTTATAAAATAGTTACTATTTTTTTTTAAAGCTATCAAAATAATTTTCCACATGGTTAGTTTGCAGTTGCTAACTATTTTTAAATATGGAAAAAAAAAAGAAAGAAATATGCATATATGTATATAATTTTTTTTTTTTTTTTGGACTCTTATAGTAAAGGCTAGCTGGCTTGTCTAATTTTTTTTTTTTTTTTTTTTTTTTTTTTTGAATAAATCTTTTTTATTTTATAAGAAAAATAAAATATATTAAATTGAAAATTATAATTAAATATATATTTTATTTTATTATTATTATTATTATTTATTTATTTTTTTAAATATTATGAATGTTACGTTGAAATCTGAATTTTTTTTGTTTTTTTTCTATATCTATTAATTTATGAAACTTTGTATTTTTAAATATATCTTTTTTAATTATAAATTTGTATAGTAGTTAATATAAAGTTTTTGTTTACTCTTCGTATTTTTTAATATATATATATATATATATATATATATATATATATTTTCCCGTTTCATCTTTATTATTCGAATTTATATCCATTATATTTTATTTATATAATATATATATATATATATATATATATATATATTTATTTATTTATATATTTTATTATTATTTTTTTTTTTTGTTGTTGTATATAATAAGAGAGAGAAAAATGAAAAGCTTAAAAGTGATATTGTGTTTGGGTATGATATCAGCTTGTATGATTGTTGGTACATATGGTCGAATGAACGTAGTGTCTCATAACTCTATGAAAAAGGTTGGGGAAGAAGGTAAGGATGAAAAGATTATATCATGTGTTGTGGAGTATGTCATCAAGGGTGACTTAAGTATTGATGATGGGGATTTTTGTGATAGTAATTCGATTTGTTCAAATAATCCTGGTTTATGTGATAATGGACAAGTAGTTGTACCAGGAGATTACTGTAGCAATTATTATGATATAACATTAGTTGTTGAAGAATCAAGTTTTGTTCAGAAGGATTATTGGTTAAAAGGAACTATACCATTTTTAGAATCTATGGTTATTAATTCAAATGTAAGTAAGGATAAGGCTCATATGTCAGTTATCCTTTTTGCAGGTAAGCAAAGAGTATTCGTTCCATTTACAGATGAAAGTAGTCAAGACAAAAATATGTTACTTGAGAAAATTAATTCAATAGATGAAGGTATATCGACAAGCTCTGATACTTTATATGTTAATGCTTTAAAGTATGCTATAGAAAATGTGATATTTGGAGATGGCACTCGAAAGGATGCTCCTAAGGTTGCTGTATTATTTTATTATGGATTTGATTATGGAGCTAATAAAAATATGATACCAGATGTTGTACAAACATATAAAGAACAAAACGTTAAACTAATAATTGTTGGTATAGCTTTAGGAATTAGAGATAATGCATATTTACTTGCTGACTGTTCTATTGGTGATGAAAATTGTGTAAATGTGGTATTTAAACCATGGGATTTTGTTATACCTGCCGCAGCAGATGTAAATCAAAAAATATGTGATAAGAATGAATCATAAGATGCATAAAAATATATATATATATATATATATATATAGATAGATAGATAATTAGCTGAATGTATATATTTTTATTTATTGCTGAATAAATAAACCAATAATAATGCCATGAGTAAAAAAAAAAAAAAAAAAATTAATTAAACATTATTAGGTGCTGTATATTTTTTAAGATACATATTGTTTTTGACATTTTAAAAAATTACAAATTTATTAATTTCATATATTCCTTTTATATTATTTTATTATATTTATTATTTTTTATTTTATTTTTTTGTGTTTTTCGAATAAATCAATATATATGAACAAGGTTGAACATATATATATATAAACATTTTGAAGGTGTTAAAAAGTAAATTGTATAAAGTATATTAATATTTTGTCATATTATTAAATATGAAAACTGTATTCTTATGATAAAATTACGTTACATGAGAAAAAGGTCACTGTTAGTGAAACATAAATATAAATATAAATATAGATATCAAATTAATTGGTAATACTAATGTTAATGTAAAGATTATTTGGGGTGTCATTATATTTTTTTCTTTATTTTTTTTCATTTTGTGTTAAACATTTATTGTATATTAAAAAGTCAGATAAGGAAAAGATTTTTTAACAAAATTATATAAATGTCCATACATAGAAAGAGATAAACATAAGAAAAAAATAGTACACACATACACACACATAAAAAAAAAAAAGAAATAAGTAAATAAGCATATAAGCATATAAACATATAAACATATAAACAATCACGTAAACATATTAATATATGATATTGTTATTTTATTTATTATTTTATTATTATTTTGTTTTTTTATATTAATAAGTGGATTATAGGAAAGGTTTAATATATATATATATATATATATTTTTGTTCATATAATAAATCATATATAAGGAGGCGAATATAAAGTTATGAAAAACATTTAAACAAAACCTTTAAAAATGAAGATAATATAATTAAAGAAATAATATATTAAAAAAAATAATGTGTTTTAAGTACTGGTATTTACAGCATATATATATATATATATATATATATATATATATATATATATACATTTATGAAATGATTACAAAGAATGTTATATATATAAATAATCTTTTTCCTTTTCCTTTTTCTTTCTTTTTTTTTTTTTTGTGTTGTATAATAATTACCTTTTTACTGTAAATTATAATTATTGTATTCTTAAATATAACATGAGAAATATTCATATTTAATCTTTTATTTATAGCAACATATTGTTACATAAACAAGTTACATTGTTTTATATATGTTTTTGTATTATGTAGTGATATATTTCTTCTATATATGGAAAATTTTATGCAGATTTTTATATGTTCAAGGGAATGAAATATAAGAATTTATATGTTCATATATTTATAGTATCATACATTTATATATTTATAAAATTTGAAATTGATTAATGGTATTTTTAAAAAAGGGGAAGAAATACTTAAGAGATACATATATTGTGTAATATATTAAAAAATAAATATGTCAAGTTGAAGAATACAAAAAAAAAAAAAAAAAAATTAAACATTAAATATTAAAAATTTTATATATTGGATGAACAATTTAAATATAAATAAATAATATTTATATGTATTTCCCAAGAATATGTTGTTTAAGTTTATATATGAAAAGAGAAATGAATTAATATATTATTTGTTAATGTTATATATTCTGTATATAATTAATTATATTCCCCCATTTTTAACTTTTTTACTATTATTATTATATATATATTAAATATAAGGAAAGGCATGCTTAATTTGTATGCGTGTACATACACCTCATATATTTATTATATTTGATTTTAATTAATAGCTATGCAATTTGTTGGAAAAAAATCATTTTTATTACCATTGTTAGAATGTAAAAAACAATATTTTAAAATAAATGAACTTAATTGGGGAAAAATAATATCCTTTGAAGGGAGGGATTGAGTATTGAGTATATCGAAATTGATAATTGTAAAATTTTTAAAAAGCCAAGAATAAACATATTAACATATATATATATATTATGAAGTAAATATTAAAAAGATTTGTATTGTGTACATTTCTTATTTTTAATTTATATTGATTATATTAAAATGTTAAATAATGAATGAATATATTATATATATATATATATATATATAATATATTTTTATTTTTATGTATATAGAATAATGTGTTTACTAAAAATAAATTTAATTTATAGTATGTCTTCCCTTTGTAATCAATCCCTTCCTTCGTTTTATGATATATGTCTATATATATATATATATATATATATATATATATATATATATATATATAGAATCCTTTTTAGAAAGGAAGTGTGTTTTTATTATAAAAAATAGACCATATATAAATAGTAATATATATCTATATTATTTTTTAATTAAAGGAACGTTTGACATTATATTATCGAAAATATTATTATAATTTTATATATAATAAGTAGGTAGTATAGTAGTAGAATTGTAATATATTATATAAAAAATGATTATAATTATATATTTTCTACATTTATAAATCTAGTAATTTTTCAATTTTTTACATACTAATTTGATTAATAAACAAGAGACAAAATACATTATAATAATATACACATTAATAAATTATTATTATATATATATATATATACCTTGTGGTGTATGTGTGTGTATGTATATATAATAAAAATTTATTAATGTGCATATTATTATAATGTATTTGTTTTTTTATAAGACTTGTTTGATGCAATGTTATTTTATTAACACACATATAATCTTAACGATGGATGTCTTGGTTCCTACAGCGATGAAGGCCGCAATTAAATGCGATATTCTGTATGTATTATATACAACATTTGAATAAATGCTGAATGTAAAATTAAAAATCTGTATAATTTTTTTTACGAAAGAAATGCTTATAACAGTACTCCTAAATTATCACTACAAAATTATATATATATATATATATATATATATATAATGGACCGGTATTTTCGTTTTACTTATCTATGTGATGACATTTTACTCTCTGTAAGTATATATTTTTATAATTGTACTATGGAGGGAGAAAAGCAACGTGTTAATTAATTTTACCTTAGGCTTCATAATCTCAGGATTATGACGTTACATAGTACTAGACATTTTATACGTTCTCAATTTTTTTTTTTGAGTTCGTATTGATGTTTAAGAGGTAGCATAATAAATGGTTGTTAGAGGTTTTAGACTTATAAGAGTCGAAATAAAAATCCCTGTTTATGGAAAAAGAAACAGGGTTTATGCTTGCACATATATACGTTTGGTATATATGTGTCTCGGTACTCTCTGAGGGTTTTTTATATATTTTTTTTTAAATATAAAATGATTTCACGCTTTTGGGCTATGCATAAATATAAACATATTAATTATGTATTTTTATATATTTTAATATTTGTTTTTATTATGTATAGTTAAAAGAGTAGCTGTAACGGGGAATAATATGCTTTGACATACCTCTTGCATGTGAAAAACTTTTCGCTAGATTGTGTACACTATAGATCCGAATAATTTGTTCGTAGCCTTTCTTTTTCTTTTAAAGAACTGGAATATGTGCTACTAGAAGAACTTAGGAAGATATCTTTTTTTTATATTTGTACAAATGTAACCATGTTTGATGTTAACACTTTGTCTTATAAAATTAGGAATTTGGTTTAAATGAGAGACTTCATTGAAACTCCCTGCACATATGTATTTATGTGTATATGTGTATATGCGTATATATATATATGTATATATTATATATATTAAATTATATATGTATCCACGTATATATATATATCGCATATTATGCACATACAGGTTGTTACTATATGATTTTTTTTGTTTATGCTTTTTTCATTCTCCTTGTTTATGTTTTACAACTTGGGGAATTCGTTTGAAATCTTCTTTTTTTATTCCATGGAATAGAGGAACGAATGTAGTCACAACTAAAAAAAAAAACTTGCACACATATTTACTATGTATACATATATATATATATATATATATATGTGTATACATTTGTATTTATGTGTCAAGTGTTGTGCGTGAATCTATTGAGAGGGACGATACTATAATATCAATGTTCTTTTTGTGATTAATTTAGGAGGGCAAATCCGCTGAAATTTTAAAAATTGCTAAAATATAATTAAGCGGAAGAAAAGAAAATAAATATGATTCCTTTAGTAACAGCGCGTGAAAAAGGATAAGCTCAATTTAGAGAATCCTTCGATTTTTTTTTGAAAGAATTGTTGGAATTGTTTCTTTTTTTTATATAATATACTCTATATGATAACTGTTCTTTGGATTATATATTACGTAATGTGTATATACATCTATTTTACAGGTACACAAGAACAAGGATATTAAAAAATATGTAGGAAATATAATGGAAAATTATCCCAAAGAGGGTGAAAGGCCCGTACTTGTTTTTATATCTACCTTGTGCTTAAATTAGAGTTAAAAATAAAGAATGAGTTGTGTTTTATGAATATGAGACACTAATATGTGTGATACATTTCACATAAAGCTAAATATGTGTAGGAGACCGATAGCAAACAAGTACCGTAAGGGAAAGATGAAATAGTACTCAGGAATGAGCAATTAAATAGTACCTGAAATCGTTAAGGTGGAAAGGATTAAGAGTGTGAAAACGTAAGGAGCTTATTTAAAAGTATGTTTACATGTGTATGCATGTTTATGTATAAGAGAAAAAGATTTTTACCTTTTTCTCTTTGGTATTTTCCTTATTATAATAAACAAAAGTGAATGAAGGAAATTTTGAAGATTGAAGTAATTTTTTAAAAAGATTAAAGAATTAATTATATATATAACAATAAATTTTTATTTATTTTTATTTATTTTTATATATAATTTATTTTTTTTTTTTTTTTTAAAAATATGAATGAATGGAAAACACTTTTTTCTGATTAAAAAGATTTCTATTTACTTAGGAATGAAAAATATATGTGTAAAAATAGAAAGTATATTTATATTTTTTGTTTTTACATGTGTATAAGTTGTTTATAAAAAATACTCTCTTAAACCAACCGTCTTGAAACACGGACCAAGGAGTCTATCAAATATGCAAGTGTATATGTTTATTTGAAACATGTAAATAATTTGTGTACGCGCATAAATGTTCCAAATGTCTGATATATGTAATAAGCGTGCACACGCATATATATGTATGTATATATGTATGTGTGCGCTTTTTATATATTTTCATTTTCATTTGATTTGTAGATTTTGTTATGAGATTAAAAAAAAAAAAGAAAAATGGGAAAAGAAATGAAAATAAAAAAATTAATTTTTTTTTGTTTTTGTTTTTTTTTTCTTTTACTTTTTGTATATTTTTTCTTTTTTTTATTTTTCATTGCAATGCATACAAATTACTTATTAAAAAGCAGAAAAATTAAAATAAAAATTTATCATGTTAAGAAATATTTATTTTTTTTTTGTTTCTTTTCTAATTTTTTTTTTTTTTTTTTTTTCTATTATGCTTTTAAATGAGTAAAGAGTATATTTGATAGGACCCGAAGGGCTTTGTACTTATACATGTAATAAAATTATTAGAGATATATGAGAGTCTTTTTATATGGATAAAAAAGTGTTATTCTTAAATATTTATCATTAATTTTTAGTGAATAAAAAAATATTTAAGAATCCTTTTTTTTTTCCAATATTACATTGTAGGGAATATAAAAAATGAAAAGCCTTATATTAGCTGGTTATTTTCGAAAGATCTCTCGAGATCACTGGAGTTGAGTTTGATATATTTTTATCGTACAAGATAAATTAAAATATATATATATATATATATATATATATATATATATATATACACAATGTTGATATAAAAGATCTAATTGTGAATTTTTTAAATTTATATTTTAATTTTTCTGGATATTTTGGTAAAAAGTGTAAATAAAATAAATATATATAAGTTGAGTATATATATTATTTTATTTATATAAAAATAAGATAACTCCAAGTGTACCATTTTTTATTAAAAAAAGAATTGGTAATGAGGGATGCTCCTAATGCTTGGATAAGGTGCCTAAATATTCGCTTATGAGATTCTGTTTTAAAATAAAAGGTGTTGGTTCATGATAACAGTAGGACGATATTCATGGAAGTTGAAATTCGCTAAGGAGTGTGTAATAACTCACCTACCGAGTGAACTTGCCCTTATAATGGATGGCGCTAAAGTGAATTACCGAAACCAAGCCATAAAAAGAGATGAAAAAGAAATTTTTTTTTTTTTTATTTTTTTATATAATCTTTTTATGAGTAGAAAATCGTAGGGTTTTTGTGTTGAAGCGAAAAACGTGAGTTTTCGTGGAACATCTCCCTAGTGCAGATCTTGGTGGAAGTAGCAAATATTTTAAATGAAAGAACTTTGAAAGACTAAAGTGGAGAAAAGGGTTTCTTGTATATAGATTTATTAATTTAAATTTTCAAGAGTTAGTCGCTTGCTTATGAGTTTGCTACTTTTTTTTTGTTTTTATGATGTTTCTTCGTTTTTTTTTTTTTTGAAGAAATAAAAAAAAAAGTTTAGCATATGTGACAAGGGGGTATGTGTTATGATTGAACTTGTATCAACCCGTACTCCATTATACTAATGAGAGGGCATACATTTAATCTCTGACACCTGTAAATTTTCCTCTACTCAAAATAAAAGTAAACAGGTTAATATTCCTGTACGTTCATAAAGATTTAAGAGTGAACTGGTAACAACTGTGAACTCCAATATATAGTAGCTACCTTCGGAGTGCGTATTTTAAATTATATTCCTTTATAATTATTGCACATGAAAATAATATATAGCTAGGCCTATGTCTTAAATGCAAGAGTCGTATACTTAGAGTGGCTTAGCACAGCGGTCGGCATATTATTAAATTGGCAATTATAAAAAGAATGAATTTATACATATATAATTTATGAGATCATAGATTTTATTTTAATAGTAATTTTCTTGTTCCGTATTTTATATATGAAATTCATTCTTTTTTTTTTGTATCAATAGTAATTCTATTAAATTTTAGGAATTACCCGAATGCTGTAAGTTACTATCAAGGAAATTGTGAGGGATATTACTTATAAGTTTTAAAGATTTTATAATTTATGTTTATAACTTTAATTCATTATTTGAGCAATCTTGGTTTTTATAACAGCGTACCTAAAATAACCGCTTGAGGTCTCCAGGGTTAACAGCCTCTAGTTTATATAGATTGTATAATAGCAAAGGAAGTCGTCCCCTATCACTCAAATGTTATATGTATATATATATGTATATATATATGTATATATATATGTATGTATATATGTATGTATATATGTATGTATATATGTATATATATATGTATATATATATGTATATATATATGTATATATATTTGAGTGCCCGAAATTCAGGGAAATGAATTTGTACTGAGTTATATAATAGGAGTAAAAGTAAATTATAGAGAAGAGGCGAAAAATTAAAGAAAGAACAAGATTAGAGTTATTCTTCGGCATATTATGTAAAATTATATAGGTGTGTATGTGTATGTACGAGACAGATAATACTTTCTACGTATATATATATATATATATATATATATATATATATATATATGTATGAGACGTTTAGATGTTGTGTAATAGATACATATGCATACATACCTATATTTTGCTTTATACGTATGCTAAAAGGCTTTCTTCTTTTTTTTAATTACTTCTTTAATTTTTATTTCCCCCCTCTTTTCAAGTTTCAATATATATATATATATATATATATATATTGATATTATATATTTACTGTTTACCAATATACACTCAGTATGTTATACCGATAATGCTTGGGAGTTTATATGGTTTTTCGTCCTTGTGAATGAAATAAAAGGTCATATAATATTTATATTATTGACCTTATTCTATATATGCAAATATATATATTATATATATGTATGTTCTATACGTATATATATATATATATATCCTTGTTATATTATAGCACGATGGCACATCCTTCCACGTATTAGTGTATCGACAGAGTGAAGCGCTTCTGCTGCGTCCAAAGGGAGGGGTAGTTGTAATGAAGGTTTATTATTATATAATTTTTATATTTTTAATATTCCTAATTTCAACAACAGTTAAGCTTTGTCACCTAACATGTGAGAGGATTAATTTTTTTTTTATACATATCCTATATAAAAATTGTATAATCCCCACGACATATACCTTACTATTTTATCTAGCGAAACCACAACCAAGGGAACAGGCTTGGTGAAATCAGTAGAGAAAGTAAGCTAATATTTCTGTTGAATAATTTATTATTTACCCAAATTTGTAACTTTGTAAAACTACTTAAGAGGTGTAGCTTTATAAGTGGGAGTAATTGAAAAAAATATATATAAAGAAAAATGAAGAGAGGTAAAAAAAAAAAAAAAAAGAATAAGAAGAACAGAGAATAAAGGATTAAAGGAGGGGGGGGGAAGGAAAAAAAAAATGAAAAAATGAAAATAAAATTAGTATTTATATATTTTTTTTGTTTTTGTTTTTTTTTTTTTTTTTCCTTTTCTTTTTTTTTTTTTTTCCTTCTTTTTTTGTTTTTCTTGTTCTGTTTTTTTTTTTTTTTTTTTCTTCATTTTTCTTTATATATATATATTTTTGATTTACACAATTGAAATACCACTACTTTTATGTTACTTTTACTTATCCATTGTTAGGAGAAAATGTATAAATATTAGATATATCATTCTTAATGTGTTTCGTTAAAAATATTAACATATATATTCCATATATGTGTTATTATTTTACGAAATGCCTTTTGAATGTTTTTAATATTTAGATAAATTTGTTTTATTATATACATATATATATATATGTTATAATAAGACATTTTTATCACACATATTCCTATATATATGTATACATATATATATATATATATATGTATGTTGTTCATATATTCGTATGTGTTACAACTACATTATATATATTTATGTATGCATATTTGTGGAGACAGAGTTTACAGTTTGTGGAGTTTATTGGATTAAACTTTTAAGTATTAAGAAAAAGGGAATATTTTTATTTTGCTTTTTTTTTTTATTTTAAAATTAATCCTTATTATTATTATTATATTTTTTTTTTATATATATTATTTTATAAATATATATGTTGTAATTAGAGGAAGAATAAATACAAATATTCGGATAGTTGCAAAATATATTTATTATAAATATATATATATAAAAAAAAAAAATATATATATATATATATAAAAATAAATGTTTTTGGATAATAACAACAGGATATATTAGTTATATACTTGTGGCTGCCTAGCGATATTTTTAGCAACGTAGCTTTTTGATATGAGAATATTAGCTCTTCCTATCATTGAGAAGAAGAAATCTCAAAGTGTCGGATTGTTCAGCCGTTAAAAGGGAACGAGAGCTGTATAAAAAAAAAATATATTTTTTTTTTTTTTAATAACCATCACGAGATAGGTTAGTTTTTTACTCTACTGAAGAATATTAATTATATTTATATATTATATATTGTTCCAGTAATCAAACTAAGTACGAAAGGAATAGTTTGGTCAGACAGTTAATTTAGCTTTCGGTTGAAAAACCAACATTGCAAAAATTTTATGTCTGTTGTGATAATAGCTGAACGTATCTTAAGCTAGAATCCATTCTGTATATACAATATATGCTTATTTTTCTTTGTCTTGGTAATTTTTTTTTTTACTGTTAATGTAAAAAGAGAAAATATATTATATTACAAAAGCATTTTTATAAATGTATTTATAAATATAAATAATCCACTTTATATTTAAATATGTACATATATATATGTACATATTTATAATATTTATTATTTAACAACAAAGAATATGAAAGATGAACTGTAGACGACTTTTTTGCCTCGGAGTGCTGTAACCATGAAAGTAAACAATTTTTAGTTTTACAATTTGCTGAGGCTTATCTCCTGTGGTCAAACTCTTTTTAATAAAATTTAAAATATAAAAAATAAATAAAATATTTTTAAAGGAAAGAAAAAAAATTTTGAATAAAATAATTTTCTTAATTCCTTGAACAACAATTTTTGAAATATCAATTTTTTTAGATGACATTATATGATTATATAAAATATTTCATATATATTATTATAAATATAAATATATGTATATATATATATATATACATATATATATTATATGAGTATATGTTATATGTTATATGTTATATGTTATATGAGTATATGTTATATGTTATATGTTATATGTTATATGAGTATATGTTATATGTTATATGTTATATGAGTATATGTTATATGTTATATGAGTATATGTTATATGTTATATGTTATATGTTATATGTTATATGTTATATGAGTATATGTTATATGTTATATGTTATATGTTATATGTTATATGAGTATATGTTATATGTTATATGAGTATATGTTATATGTTATATGAGTATATGTTATATGTTATATGAGTATATGTTATATGTTATATGAGTATATGTTATATGTTATATGAGTATATGTTATATGTTATATGTTATATGAGTATATGTTATATGTTATATGTTATATGAGTATATGTTATATGTTATATGAGTATATGTTATATGTTATATGAGTATATGTTATATGTTATATGAGTATATGTTATATGTTATATGAGTATATGTTATATGTTATATGAGTATATGTTATATGTTATATGAGTATATGTTATATGTTATATGAGTATATGTTATATGTTATATGAGTATATGTTATATGTTATATGAGTATATGTTATATGTTATATGAGTATATGTTATATGTTATATGAGTATATGTTATATGTTATATGAGTATATGTTATATGTTATATGAGTATATGTTATATGTTATATGAGTATATGTTATATGTTATATGAGTATATGTTATATGTTATATGAGTATATGTTATATGTTATATGAGTATATGTTATATGTTATATGAGTATATGTTATAATTAATTACATGTATATATAAAATTAATATTTTACATAATTATAGGATGACATATATTCATTTATTATATATATATATATATTTATATATACGTGTGTTTTTATATTTTATATGGTACATATTAATATAATACTTTATCATATAATTATTGCATTAAAAAAAAATGCGTGAACAAAAAGATAAATAAATATATAAACATATAAATATACATATATGTTATATATATATATATATATGTGATTATTGCATGATAATAATGTATATTTTATTAAATCTAATAATTTATTTTATTTCTTAAGGAATTACAAAAATAGATGCTTGATGAAAATATACTATATCATATTGATATAATTAATAAATATATCTATTCATAATGTATAATAAAAAGGTAACACATACACATATATATTTACATTGTTGAATTATATGAATTGTTAAAAACATTAAGGTAATATATATTTCCTTGCTTTAATAATATTATATATATATATATATATTTATATTTATATTTATAAACGTAATCACATTATTATATTGGATTAAATGAGTTGTGAGATTTATTTTCTTCTTATGTGCTTACCCTTTTTCTTATAATATTTAAAGGTGCTAAATAATAAATAACATATTTATAATATAATATATTTATTTTTTATTTTTTTTTTTTACTTTTTATTTAAAAAGATAAACAAATAAAATAAAGAATAATTTTATATATGAATATAAGTGTACTTAATATTTTCTTTATATTTATTTATTATAATCACTTTTTATTCCTTATAAGGGGAAAATAGGGAAAAAGGAAAAAAAAAAAAGGAACAGAAAATATATTTAAATAAATATATATTAGGAGAAATATTATGTTCTTTTATTTTTTCATCTTTTTTTTTTTTTTTATGTAAAAAAAAAAAAATATATTATTTTTGGTTAAACAATTTATATTCTTTAAAATATATAAAAGATAAAAAAAAATAAAGGTAATTATTTTGTTTTGTTTTTTCAACGAATAAATAAAAAAAAAAATATATATATATATATATATATATATATATAAGATTATATTATGTATATATGTATATATATATAAGATTATATTATGTATATATGTATATATACATAAGATTATAATTGTGTATCAGGATGAATAATAGTAAAAAATATGTAGTTAAAATTATATATTATTATTATTACATATATAATTATATAAATATTTATAGCATATTCAAGATATACATGCTTATTTATATAGGTTGATATGATATATTCTTACTTTTTCAAACGTATTTAATAATATCTAACATAAAAAATATATAGGAAAAAAAAAATTAAATAGAGAAACGTTTAAATCAAAGAAAGGTCCCATGCTCTTGCTCCGAGTTAATTATTATTATTATTGTAATTATTATTTGTATGGAAACATGATAATTAATTTATTCATTAATATAAATATATTTATATATTATATATATATATATAATAAAATATAAATTTACAAAAATATATTTGTATAATATGTAATAAAATAATATAATATATATTCATTATTATTAATAATACATAATATTTTATGAGAACCTAATTATTTCCTATCTTATTTTTAAGTAAAATGCATATTATCTAAAAAAATGTTAAACCAAACCCCCCAAAAAAAAAAAAAAAAAATAATCGTTTTTTCTATATTTATTTCTTTATTATTCTATAATATATTTTAAAAAACAAAATATCAAGAAGCTTATATTTTTAAAAATTATTTAATATTAATATACAAAATATACAACAAAAAAAAAAAAAAAAAAAAAAATATATATATATATATATATATATATATATATATATATAATATATTATTATATGCTTTGTATGCATATAAAATAATATAATGAGGTTATTTTTTAATAAGATATTTTATTATTATATTTGTATATTTCTGAACCAAATATTTTTTATATTTTCATTTTTTTACTACCAATTTTTTTATAGGTAAAAAAAAAATATAATAATAATAATAAAAAATAAAAAAAATTTATTTAAATATATTTTTATTTTATTAAAGTTTAAAAAAAAAAAAAAAAAAAAATATATATATATATATAAAAGAAAAAATACAATCATAAAAATATTCTTTTTTGAATTAATTAAAAAGAATATTATATAAAATGATAGCAAATAAAAAAATAATATTTTGCTAGGTTGTATTTTTTAATATTTATTTTGTATGAGATATTTTGTATTTTTTTTTTTTTTATATAAAAAAAGAAGTCTAAATAACATATACAGCACAAGTAAATAAATAAATAAATAATTAAATATATTTATAGATACATATTTATGGTTCTATAAATACTAGAAAATAAATCATGTTATTTTGAGACTTTTTTTATTTTATTTTAATATTCTCTATAAAAGAAATTATATATATATAGATATATAATGCTTATGAAATATATATAACATTTCATTTTATTTTATGATTATATTTGTAAAAATAAAAAATAAGACAATCACTAATATATATATATATATATATATATATATATATATATATAGATATATCTATATATATATACATACATATTTATATATATAATATATATGATATTTGTTAAGAGTAACATTTTATATTTCCTTAAATGGCCTTCAGTCGCCATAGAGGAAAATTTTAGTGGTTCCTTTAAATGTTTATTCAAAAAAAATAGGAGTAAATATATAAGGAATAATTTATCAAGATTTATTCCTTCAGTTTCTTTAATTTTGTTCTTTTTTCTTTTTGTTCTATGTAGCACAATAGAAGTAAGAGACATATAAAAAAAATACGACGTATTTTTACATGTATGGATTGCACATATATATATATATATATATATATAATTTTTTATGTTTTAGAAAAGATAATTGTATGTTTTTTTTTTTTTTTTTTTTTTTCTGCAGAATATTGAAATATTAAAGAATGATTATAATACACTAACAAAATGTCATATTATTAATAGAGCGTCTAGAAATTTAGGAGTGAATACTGAATCTATTAGTTTAGGTTATGGATTTAATGAAAAGGATGAAGGAAATAAAAATGATCCAATATATGGTGCTACAAACGTACAAACAAAATTAGGTAATTTAAATGAACATTTATGTCCTGCATTACAATCACATATAAACGATCAAAATACATTAAATAATACGCCATGTTTACGTAAGGATTCTTCTGGATTTGAGAATTTTAAAAAATTGGATACAGATAGAATTACTAATCTGAAAGATGAAACCAATGTTAATGAATTTGAAGGATTTCTAGGAAGCAATTTAATGGGTGGTAATGTAGTTCGTTCGGAATTATATGATGAACCAGTAGATGATAGTAGTAGTAGTAGTACACGTGCAAATATGAAAAATGTTCCTTTGAATGATAATAACATTGGACTTTTGAAAGATGAACCTGTAGATGATTATATAAATAGTAATTGCAAAGGTGAATCGGAAGATAATTATTATACACAACAGAATATAGAAGGTCAGTGGAAAGATAATTATTATACACAACAGAATATAGAAGGTCAGTGGAAAGATAATTATTATACACAACAGAATATAGAAGGTCAGTGGAAAGATAATTATTATACACAACAGAATATAGAAGGTCAGTGGAAAGATAATTATTATTCAGAACAAAATGTAGAAGATCAGTGGAAAGATAATTATCCTACACAGCAAGATGTACCATATCAGTCTACCTATAATTATCCTACACAACAAGATGTACCATATCAGTCTACCTATAATTATCCTACACAACAAGATGTACCATATCAGTCTACCTATAATTATCCTACACAGCAAGATGTACCATATCAGTCTACCTATAATTATCCTACACAACAAGATGTACCATATCAATCTACCTATAATTATCCTACACAACAAGATTTATCAGATCAGTCTACTTATAATTATCCTACACAACAAGATGTATCAGATCAAT